GTGTCCCTGGTCAGTGCTTTCAGTAGTGGTAGCTGGGTATCATCTAAGTTCCTCTGGTCTCTAGATAGATGAGGTGGTGGTTCATATAGGCTGTTAGTCCTATAGACTAGATTCTTCTTTGAGTCTTTGATATTTTTTTTCTCTCTCGCTCAAGACAAATAGAGACCAACAGTTTTATATGGCTATTTGCAATCTTTTGAGACCCCAGACACTACTCATCAAACCAGGATGTAGAACATAAACTTAGGAACTATGCTATGCTATTGACCAAGTTGTCCTATAAGACTATGTTCATAAGCCTTCAACTCACAAGACCAATCCCATGGGGTATCTAAGTCTGAGAAGTATCTATAACTGTGTCCTATACTTGCCATTCCCTTGAGGTCTTATGTTACCCAGCCTTGGACTCAAAGATTACATGAGTTTGTAGGAGTATTGCATAGGTGGTTGAGTCTAGAATAATATATCTTCATGGAAATTACTTAAATGTGTTTGATTTCAATTTCATGCAAATTTGAAACATATTCTAGTATGGTATGTTGTTCTAACACCTTTTATTAGTTAATTGGGTAAAAAATGACTTAATGGGGTAGACTAGCCAAAAACATATGCAAACCTGAGACAGCCATATAACACTATCTAACATTATCTAGAATCTTCTGTTAAGGTAGCAAACTCCTAAGCATAGGCTGCATTGTGGATATTTTCTTTGCAAAAAGCAGAAGTATATTTATGGAAGCTGGGGGAAGGGCAGGAAATTCCTGAGAGTATCTTTTAAGTTGAGGGGTGAGGAGTTGGAGAACCTAGGGGACATGAGAAGAGAGGTACAATATGAAGAATTTAAACAACTTTTTATTGTTCATTGTTTTTGTCTTAGATCTCTGTTTATCTCACCATTTGTAACTTAATAAACTATATTCTGTTCTTTGCATTCATAGCAGTAAAAATAATAACAAAATAATAATAATAGCTCTAGTGGCGTAGTGCCTAAGGCATTTGACTGCTAGCGAGAAGGCTGGGGGTACAGACCCACCAGCCACTCCTCAAAAAGAAGATTGGGCAAACGTCACCTTGGAAACCCAAGGAAGGGTCACTGTGAATCAAATTGACTCGACAGTAGTGAGTTTGGGTTGTTTGGTTTGGTATCACTAATTGAGGCCCTATTGTGGTCATCACTCTATTAGCCACTGTAACCTTTACTATCTTAAGTAATTTTCACAGTGACCCAATGATGATAAACAGCATTCTCATTTTATAGATGAGAAAAGGGAGATTCAAAGGTATAAAATAGTAGATTCTACAGTAGGTGGTGGTAGACAGGATTCATACCTAAGTCTTCTAAGCATCTCAGCCAGGGTTTTTTTTTTTTTTTTAAATGGAAACATGCTACTTTTATCTTTCTGTCTGTGGGAGTATTTTTAGGATTTACTTAAAATAAACATAATTCAAATTTTTAACCCCTTTAGCCAGAAAGGAGCTCTGGTGGTACAGTGCCTAAGGCATTTTACTGCTAACCAGAAGGTTGGTGGTTTAAACCCACCAGCCACTCCACTGGAAGGCAGATGGGGTAGTCTGCTTCCGTACTACCTTAAAACCCATTGGAGGTCGCTGTGAGTTGGAATCGATTCCATGGCGGTTTTGCTTTTGTTTTATCCTGAAAAGGAAATAGTGCTACACAGCAAATTTTAAAAATACACTGTTTATTACCATCAGTGTGGGAAAACAATATAATTTTTTTAAAAAAATGCCCATTTTAAAGTTGATTCTTTTTCCTTTCACTAACATTATCTGATGACTCAGTAACTCCTTTTTAGCCTGGAAACATTCTTATCTATGGGAACTGTTTCATTAAGATTGTACCATATTAGAGAAAATTAGTGGGAAAGTTAAAAAGACAAATATTGGATGAGTCCACTATTGTAAAAAATTAGGGACAGGTTTATCTGTAGAAGGAGACTTTCTTTGTTAGTTAGCAGGGATGAGAGGGGAGGGAAGGGAAAATCTCTAGATAGTTGGGGAAAAAAAAGATACATATGTATGCCAAAGATTATTAGTGGTTGCCAGGGGTGGGAGGGATGGGGAAAGAGGAAGCTTTCATTTGGGGGGCATTGAGTTAATGCTATTAAGTGGTAAGATATTTCGGGAAAGGATAGCGATAATGGTGGTACAACGTAACAAAGCTTGAGAATGATTTTTCTTTTCCCTTTTCCATGAATTGCCCGTTCATGTCTTTTGCTTATTCTTTGGCTGTAGCTTTTTCCTCTCAAGTTTTAGGAGTTCTCTGTATATTGAGAGTTTAACTATATGAGATATATTACAAATATTTTCTCTTAATTTGTCAACTTTGATTTGACTTATATTACGGTTTTGTGTTTTGCTGCACAGTATTTATTTATTTATTTTTAATTGTATTAGAATGTATCAGATTTTTCTTTATAACTTCTGGTTTTAGGGTCCTAGTTAGAAAGTCTTTCTCCACTCCCAAGTTGTAAGGGATTTTACCCATTTTATTTTCGCACCTAGCTGGTTTCATTTTACTACATTTACATCTCTGATTCATACACCACATTGTATTCTGGTATATAATGCAAAGTATGGATCTGATTTAATTTTTTCCCAACAACCATCTATTTGTCCAACACCATTTATTAAAAAGCCTAACATTTCCCTCAATAACTTGAATGCTAAATTTACTGTAAATCAAATTGTATTTGAACCTCTTTCTGGTTTTAATATTCTGTTCCATTGGTCTTTAAGTTACTTAAGTGCTGTTGTCACATTGTTTTAAATATGTAGTCTTTACAAAATTGACTTGATGGTAGTGATTTTTGTTTTTGATTTATATTTTAGTACATGGTAGGACTACTTTGCCTCCCCAGTTGCACCTCTTTTTCAGATTTTCCTGGATATTGTAATGGTTTATTTTTCATATAAAATTTAGATTCAACTTGTCTAGCTCTGGAAGAAAATTATTAGTATTTTTACTGGGGAAAATGGCCATCTTTATGATGTTGAGTCACTTTATTCAAGAATATGGGATGTGTTTTCATTTATTTAAGTCTACTTTTTTTTTTGCCTTTTAAGAGTGCTTTTCAAAAAGCTTTTTATTATAGAAAATTTCACACATGAATTAAAAGAATAATATAATGAAGTCTAATATTGTATTACCCAGCATCAACAATTAACATTTTTCATAGCTGATGTTCTTGACATACAAGCTCTGAGTACAATTCTTGACTATTTTTATGTGACTTCAAAAGATGTTATTGGTCACTATTATTAGATAAGAACTTTATTGTAGGTGAACTGCATTGGTTATCATCAGAGAGTTATATTGTCTCAGAATTTTTTTAATAAGATGAGTAGCTATTGATTTTTTAGTTATTTCAGGTAGCAGTTAACTGTTTCAGAGAATAATTCATAACAAAACAAAACAAAAAATTTAAACTCTATTTCCTATCAAAGTATAATTTTTTAAAGTTAAAAGATTGTAATTTTACAGATATTTCATGAATATATGTCAAAGATACTAATTCAACTTATTCAATAAAGGCAGTAGTATGATGGTAAAACTGGTTCTAAGTATTGGAGAAAGTTGAGTTTTATATAGTCTTAAAGAAATAATGTTAGAGTAACATTGCTGAGTTAGATTTAAAACTGGTTAATGTCCTATAGGTAACCTTTGGGTTATCTTTTCTATTGGACAGAAATCATTTGCATATCTACTGGACACAAATCTACAGTTAACATGTAACTTCACAGAGTCTGAGTCCTTAATTAATAGTAAGTAGCTAAGTAAAAAGTGGTTATTCACCTAAAAATGTAAATAATCTTGGGTGGACCTGTAAAATCAAAGTTGGCCAACTGAAGCCTGTGGGCCAAGTCTGGTCTGCCACAGCCAAACTTATTTATTTTTTTATTGCCTATGACTGCTTTTGTGCTGTAATGACAGAGTTGAATAGTTTGAACAGTAACTACGGCCCTGTAAAGTCTAAAATATTTTGTATATTTTTTTAAAGTTTGGTCCTTTACAGAATTATTTGCCAACTCCTTTATTAAACATTGCTTCAGGATGATATTGGAAAGACATGTTGCTATTATCCTGATCTTATTTCTGAATTTGGGGTAATTTTTCTTAAGAACCCAAATGAACATCAAAATGATAATATATTCCCTGCCCAATATTTCTGTACCTAATAAAACTGTTCACAACCACCCTTTCTCTTCCTGTCTTTTCACTTTGTTTGTGTATATTTCTTTCTCTTTGGTACAACCACTTTTCTAGTTTTCTCTGCACCTTTTCCTACAGTTCTTTCTTTTCTTCCTGTTTTATATTTCACTTTGTTTTCTTCTCCTCTTCCTTAGACTGGCAATAATATGGAATGTTAGTTCATTTATTTATTACGGTGGTAAAGTCTATTTTGGACAGTTTAAAATTTTATATATTTGCCCCACAATAAAACCAAAATACAAATCAGTTTCAGTTACCAAAATATTTTTGATTTCTATTCCTGCTGCTTACCTACCCCCTTCCCCCCATGAGTAGTAGCCTTTAATTGTTCCTTGTACTGTTTTAATTAAGCTAAAGGAGTAGAAAAAACATGGTAGAGGTCTTTTATATTCCTAAACTTTGTTTTACAACATTTGAAAATATTTTTTCATGTGTAGTTTTACATAAGAAATCTTGAAGGACACCATAAAGTAACCTGGAAAATACAGAACAGTTCAATTTTTAGTTTATACTGAATAAGCATTGGTAGTTGGATATTTGGTGATAGACTCTGAAGACCATAAATAAAGCTGCAGAACTGAAGTCTTGTCCAGTTTTCTTAAGAGAGTTTTTAAATTTAAACATATACTTTTATGTTTAGAGATGATTACATTTAGTGTAGATAATCAAAATAATACCTTTTCATTCTTAAATCCTGTGTGAAATCAGAAATTTTTATTTTAAAAATAATTTTAACACTTAATAAATATATTTTTTTTTAATTCTCAAGATAAAGCAAAAGGAGAGAAAGAATAATAATGATACTTTATATGAAGTTGTATGCTTGGAAAGTGAATCAGAGAGAGAGAGGAGGAAAACTACAGCCAGTCCCTCAATTCGCCTGCCACAGTCTGGATCTCAGACCTCAATGATACCTTCTCCTCCAGAAGATGATGAAGAGGAAGGTAAACTGTTGGGAAAGCTTAATACATATTTTGGGGTACAGGACCATGCAGACTCTTAAAATTTTATCAGGGAACTGATAATGTGTTGTGGTATTTGGAATTTTTTTCAATAAATACTTAAGAGAATCTACTATATGCAAGGAGCTGTGGAAGATAGATTCACACATGAATGACATTAGAATTTCCTCAAATACTTGTAACCAAGTTTGAAAAATGAGATTTATAATTTGTGCTTTTTTTGTAGTAGTTAAATACCAGCTTGGTATATTAGCATATTTATTTTTTTAGAGGAAATTTAGTAACTAACAAAAGCAACCCACAGCCATTTAGTTGATTGTAACTCATAGCATCCCTCATTGGGTTTCCAAGGTGGTAAATCTTCATAGAAGTAGATTTCCCCATCTTCCTTCGGCGGAGGATGGATGAACTGCCATCCATCTAATTAGCAGTAAAATACCTTAGGCACTGCGCTACCAGAGCTCCTTAAATTTGACACACCTTCCGTTAATTAACGTCCTATCTCAGTGGATTGATTTAGCAGGAACAAGCTCATTTGCCAAAATGTGCTTTTCTGTGCATGAGTCTTTCACCAAACATATGTGTATTTTTTTTTAGCTTGTTTTCACACTGATAAATATTAAGAATTAACCAGTTCTCTTTTTTTTTTTTTTTTTTTTCTTTTTCGTGGCTGTATCTATTGAACTAATCTCTTAAGTTTGTATTGTACCGAAATGTTAAAATGTACTGTACAGAAGTGAGGAAGGCAGGGAAGGAGCACAGGAAAAAATGAAACTTTGAGAGATATTTTCTAGTTTTAAAAGCTGATTATGATAGAAGGTCATATGTGGCATATGTTTATGTGTAGTTCTCAAGAAGTATTCTGGAAATTCATAAAGGAGATTTCATTTTTCATTGTGGGGATTGTGAGGAGGCATATAATGAGCAATAGTTGTTGAGCTAGGACTTCGAAGTACAAGAAGAATTCAGCAGGCAGACGTGCTGGTTGGGCATGTCTCAGCAAAGAATTATCAAAGGCTTAGGGGTGGCAGGAATAACTGATTTGGTTAAAATAAATACTCATGACTGCGTGTACTTTTTTTTCAAGTTTAGAGCAAGCATTGAATTTCCGATTCCCTTCAAGTCCCATTTTCTCTGTAACTAATCATTTGAGAGTCATTACTAGTAACATTAATGGCCACCAATTACTACATGCTTACTATATGATGGGTGCTCTGGTGGCGTAAGGCCTAAGGTATCTGACTGCTAACCAGAAGGCTGGTGGTTCAAACCCACCAGCCACTTCCTGGAAGGAAGGTTGGGCAATCTACTTCTGTAGTGATAGCACCTCGGAAACCCAAGGAGAGGTCGCTATGAGTCAGACCTGACTCCATGGCAGTGGATTTGGTTTGGATTTACTATATGATAAGCACTGTGTCAAATGCATTGTTTGTCTTATATAACAGTCCTGAAAAACAGGATTTATCATTGTCCTCCTTTTCTGTATGAGGAAATAGAGTTGCAAAAATTGAAATGATTTTCCCAAGGGTTACACAGTTAGAAATTGAGAGTCAGAATTTGAATCCAGATCTATGAATCTATAGTCTGAGCTCTGTTCTGTTATCACCTCTGTTAATTTAGTTTACATAAAGCATTTTGAAGTACAGAGAAAGCAGATGTATCATTTTTGGAGAAGTCAGAGCTGCAATTTAAAGGTACCTTAAGTTGTTGTTGTTACGTGCCGTTGAGTCCGACCTGACTCATAGTGACCCCTCCTTGAGTTTCTGAGGCAGTATCACTAAGGAAGTAGATTGCCCCATCTTCCTTCCGAGGAGTGGCTGGTGGGTTTGTACCGCCAGCCTTCTGGTTAGCAGTCAAGTACCTTAGGCACTACTCTACCAGCCAATTTAAGTTAGATGTTAAAGCTGAGAAAGATGGATTTATCTCTGGGATCACAGTTAGTTTCCCATGGTTTGAGATTGTCTGTTTTGTAGCTGGTATTCTTCAGACTTGCAATTTCCCTTTCAAATCAACAGTAATTAAGAAGGCAAAGTGAGTAAATGTTTACGTAACTTTCCTCCCTTAAACTCAACAGTAAAATAAAAAAGACACAAAAATTGAGAAAGGCTGTCTATTTATAATGATATTGGACAATGCTCAAATCTCCATACTATATATTTTGAAGAATATTTACCATTTACAAAGAAATCTGGACCCAACTAACTGATAACATCAGGACTGATCGCGTTGATTCTGACTCATAGTGACCCTCTTTGGGTTTCCAAGTCTGTAATTCTTTATAGATATAGATTGCCCAGTCTTCTTCTGCAGAGTGGCTGGTTGGTTTGCATTGCCAGTCTTCTGGTTAGCAGTCAGATGCCTTAGGCACTATGCCACCAGAGCTCCTTTCTAATCTTTAGGCATATGTATTTTTTAAACTTAAGTGAGAAAGTTCAGAAGACCTCTACTGACAGTCCTTAACTAGGGACAGTGGAGGACTAGTGGCAATGGGTATTCCATGGAAGAATCAAGGAACACTGGAACACAGCTCTGGAAAAGCATATGGTTTTGCCTCACATGTTTTTTTTTTAGTGTTTAGCACAATGCTTCTTATGTAGTAAGTGCTCAGTAATTACTGCAGGATGGGTAACATTCTAGGGTCCATTTCCTTAGTGAAGAACTAATGACAGGAGAATTGGTACTGAAAGAGGAACTGTGTAGCTATGCCATCTTTTAATTCTCTCAAATCTAGTATTCAGACCAGGAAAACCTTTACCAGTGGGATCTGTCTCTTCCCTGGGAAGAAATGGGTATAATTGTATGGATTATTTGTGCCAACAGTTACAGAGAGGAAGTATTTAGAAACAACATTCTGAAACTAAGATGTTCCACTTCTACTCTGCCTTAAGTAGATGGGGTTCTAAACAAATTTCAGATTACGGCTATTCAGATTTGTTGAAAACATTTAAAACTGTAAAAGGGAATATGTAAGCTAGATCTTCCTAATCTTTTTGAAGCAAGTGCCATCCTTGTAAATTTTAGAACTTTTTTAATGGCCTTCTTTTTTCCAAGGAGATGTGTACGATATATTGATATTTTAATGAGAAGAGAATTCCTTCAGGGATTAGAAATTAGGGCCAATTCTGACACGATAGTGAAATTGGGGAAGTTCATCTTAGTGCCCTTGAACCTTTTCCTTTACTCTGTTCCTCCATATATAATTTCTCAGTTACATTCAATCTATCCTCTTCTCTATCTCACCTTCGAAAGTGATGATAATGTCTAAGATATTATAATGTGGAGAAGTTTAATAATAAGTATCAGGGCTTTCTTTGCCTTTAATATCATTGTTCTCAGATGAATGCTATCTCTAGTAGTAGTAGGGATGTAAATCATAATGTAATCATCAGAAAATCTACAGTTTTTTTAGGCAGGTTGAGAAATCAAAAATAATGAAAAGCAAAGTATCAGTGAGGTCACTTGGAAGCAGGAACTTTTTGTACAGTTAGTGGAAATGTAAATTGGTAAAACCCTTTTGGAAGGTAGTCTGTCTTAAGTTTCAAAAGCCTTTAAGGTTTTGTTCTTTTTTTAAACCCAGTAATGTCCACTTCTGGGCATATACTCAGTTGAAGTGATGGCACATTTTCAAAAATACCACTACAAGGATACTCGTACCCATATGGTTTGTAGCAAAAACTTGAAAACTTCCTAAGTGCCCAACAAAAGGGAAGAGTAAATAGATATCTTAGTTTGTATTCTCCCCCCCCCCATGCTTTTCAGTTCCTCTCATATCCCTTTATCATTGTCACAGTTTTTACTTTTTTAAGTTAATAAGCTTCAAGTTCTTCTTTGACTTAATTTTTATTTAATTACTTCAGTCAAGTTTGAAATGATTCATTTAATGTTTTTGTGCTTTTTACTATAAATTATGTGTGTCATATACAGAAAAATCCAGAAAAGTGGAAAATCCAGAAAGTCATAAAAACATAAAGGAGGAGAGAAAAAAAATTAACAATTCTATCACTTGGAGGCAGTAATTGTTAATGTCTTGACTTAATTGCTTCCAGTCTTCTCTGTTTTGTAACAGAGAGTCGATCAAAATGTAGATTCAGCTCTCCATATTTTTATTTTACATGGTATTTTGCTGTTACTATATAAACATGTTAGTATGCAGTTGCATTGTATACATGTATTTATTTATTCAACAATTATCTATTGTTGGACACTGAGGTGATTTGTAATTTTTTTTAGCTGTTAGACTGCTACGTGTTTTCACACACAAAAGACTTTTGCTTTGGAAAAGGAAAGAACGTGTCATATTTTGAGTCCAGTAAGTTTATTATTTAATGACTCTTTTCTGCATTTGACATAACATAGACCTATATGGGAAGCAAAAGAAAATGGGAAAAGTTACAACAGCATTCCATGTTTTTATTTTCTTTGTGTTGATACGTATATATTAAGATAAATTATGGCTTTATGCTTCCAGTCAAGTCATTCAAATTTGATTATTCCATTCCCATATCATTCTTTTGGCTCAGCATAGCCTGTTACCCCTTTTTTGTGTTTTGTTTACTAAAGATAATGATGAACCTCTCTTGAGTGGATCTGGTGATGTATCCAAAGAATGTGCAGAAAAAATTCTTGAAACCTGGGGAGAACTACTGTCAAGATGGTAAGTTATAAGTGTGGTTTTTCCTTTTCATCTACAAATTTCATTTTATGGGTAAGAACTCTTACCAACAACAGTAGAACCAGTAATAGAAACCTAAGCATTAGGGTCTTTCTGTTTTTTGAAGTTCATATTTGTAGTCATTTAGATGTGAAATCAATTTTCAAAATATCAGTATTACCCAAGCAAAACCTAATAAAATCTTTATTGCTAAAGAAAGTATTTATACAAACGTGAAATTCATGGAGGAAATAAGTAAGAAAAGACGTCCTATATATTGAAAGGAGTCCCTTGGTGGTATAAACATTTAAGCATGCAGATAGCAACAGAAAGGTTGGTGATTTGAGTTTACCCAGAGACTCCTCAGAAGGAAAACCAGGTGATCTACTTCAGAAAACTCAGCCATTGAAAGCCCTATCGAGCACAGTTTTACTCTAACACACATGAGGTCGCTGTGAGTCAGAGCTGATTCCATAGCAGCTGGTTTGGGGTTTTATATTGAAGAGGTTTGGAACCATAGGTTGCCCAGTGTTAAGCCAATACAGAATAATCAGAGAAGTTTCGAGGATGCTCTCATAATGCAATAGAGAGACCCCAGGTGGGGTTTTTCCTTATCTGTGTTTACATACTTAATAGTGACAGAAAAGAGTTTCACAAGCACAGTATAAATTTCTATTTGTACCACTTGTTTTTCCTTCTAACACTTGGTGAAATTCAGCGGTTTCCTAGCAGCTCAGAGACAGTGTGACAATAATTATAAGAAGGACTGTTTTCTAGGCTGTGTAAAAAGAATACACTGTTGTTAGTATTTATTAATAAGACCAGAGACACTCTGGTAAGTCAGGTTGGTGAGACACTTGTGTAGTTACCCATTCTCCCTGTAAAGGATGCCAGTATATGCTAAAAAAGGCTGGCTTTAAGAGTGATCCAAACACCTCTGTTTCTTGCTGTCTAGTTATTAGGGTTGTGGGCTTGTTACTTTGGGGTTTGCTTTTTCTCTGAAGTTTGAGCTGTTGAATCTTTTCACTCTATTCTTAGTAAAACTATGTCTCCGCAATTTAAAAAATTATTGCATGCCCTTAAGAGATAGGACTACAAGTGGACATTATCTTCTTCTAGCTCTCTTCCAGTGCTTTATACTCTTCTTGGTAAAACACTCTCCACATTGGAAAATGTCATATGTGTATAGGAGAAGGAAATAATCCAAAGCATGGTTTGTCTTTACACAAGTAGTTTTAATAAATGAGTTTTGCAAAGGCCCCCAGGGGAATAGTTCTCATATGTTTTTAATATTGCTTTAGCAGTCAGGAGACAAACCTGCTGATGCTCTCACAATTATATTTTCAGTGCAGTGAATTTGTAGTGTGTGAACTGCTGCTGGCAGAAATTTTATCTGTGTAAAAAGGTTTCTGCTCTAAAACAGAAATGTAATTGAGCCTTTACATGGTTATGTAACAGTGTATTAAAAATCATTTAGATAAAGCATTCAGACTCTACAATTAGATTCCATTATATTAACCTACCACCATTTTATACAATGACTTAGAATTTGTTTTGTTGTCAAGTTATTTATTTATTTAATTAAGCCCTGTCCTTCTCCTACTCCCTCAAATATATGCTTCCATCTTTTTTAATTGTCTCCAGAAGGTTTCAAACTATTTATTCTGGTTTTAGTCATGTCTTCAGATAATATTGTAGTCTCTTGTTTAATTCATTTCATCATTTTTTTTTTTCATCATTATTATATGTGTTTTATAGATAGGAAGCATTTGCAATATCATGACATTTTAAAGCATAGTAGACCTGGCTTTAAATTCTATCTCTATTATTTCTAAGCTGTGTGGTACTGGACAGGTAACTTAATTCTTCTGAGTCTGTTTCCTCATACAGAAAGTAGTTGTCATAGTTGTGGAAATAGTAGTACGAACTCATGAATTTTTGATAACTTACGGACACTGTCTTAACTATAGTGACCTTATGAAGGAGTATGCATTTCACAGATGAGAAAACTGGCTTAGAGGTTAAATGAGTCTTTCTAGTTAGCTAGTAAATGGCAGAGCCAGAATTTTTAACCTAGTTAAATCTGATCCCAAAGCTGCTTTTCTTAACTCTATAATAGATTTTAGTGGCCGTATTAGTGGCAGTATCATTGAGCTCCTATTCTCCATGTTTATGTTAATGTGACTCTTCTTAAAGCGTAAGATAATTTGTATTATCAGTGACGTATAATTCTTCTGAATATAGTTTTATCAGTGTAAGGTAGGAGTTGACAAACTTTTCTAAAGAACTTTAAATATGAAATATTTTAGGCTTTGCAGGCCAGTAGTCTGTTTCACAACTATTTGACTCTGCTTTTATAGTACAAAAGAAGCCATAGACAATACACAGAAGTATGTCTGTGTTTCAGTAAAAGTTTATTAGCAACAGTAGTTTGATTTGATCCACAGGCAGTAGTTTGCTATCCTCTGAATTAAGTAACAGAAACACTTTTGTTCTTTCTGTTCCCTGTTCTCTAACATGTACACACACACACATTTTTTTCTAAGCAAAGAGAAAACTATATTGAGTTACGTATAGCTCAGCCATCAGGGTACCAGCATCACAGAATTATTCGTTTTTAAATGTGCATTATTCTCCTAGAAATCTGGATTTTAAGAGAAGTCTTACACCTTCTTATAATTTGATAGTGGTCATCTGGTATCAGTAACATCTGGTTAAATCTGATAGTCACAAGAACTATTCCATTTCAGGATCCTGCTTTATTAACTCAATAATGGTGGTTCTCAAATCTCAAAGCAGCTGTTATATAACAGATAGTATATTCCTTTATCTTTGAGTTTGAAGACACTATCTCAGTTAATTGATGTCCATCAACTTTTATCTGTCTGTGGAGGTTCTGCCATCTACAGTTGTAAGGATCAAAAGAGATGTTGTAAAGTTAAAGTATTTTGTAAATTTATACCAACATTGCAAGATAAGTTTTATTTTCCTCATTTTATAGGTGAGACAAATGAAGCTCAAAGACTTCAGTAGCTCGTTTTGATGTGGCAGTAGTACAGCAGAAATTTTCTTATCTACCACATTTATTCAGAAAAGTTAATTGAAGCAAGGTATCATAAAAAAAAAATGCTTAAAACATATGTCAGTATTTTGTTTGACTTAGAACATTTTGAAAAGGGCAAGGAGGCCACATGTCCAACCTCCTCTAACCCTACAAGGGGAAGACAGGATTACCAGCGGTAACCCAAGGCCTATTACTGCAAGGCCAGACATGCTGCCTCCCTCCAGGCCTTTCTCCAACCATTCCTCCCAAAGCACCCACCACCTCTTTCCTGGGTTTGATAATTCTCTGCAGTGGCCACATAGAACTCACGGGTTATGGAGTTTATTAGGGAAGCACCAGGCTACAATTCAAGTTCAGGAAAAACGCTCAGTCTCTCTCCCAGCCCACCGTCTCTCAGCCAAGTCTCTTACAGTCTGTTCCCCAACAGTCTATGTCCCTCGGTGTCTTACTCAGCAACGCGTGTCTCTTGCGTCTCTTTCCCAGCAGCACATGTCTCTTTCCAGGGTGCATGTCTCTTTCAGCACATGCTGTCTTCCTCAACCAGCAGTCAGAGAGTTCTGCCTCTAGGAGGCCTCCTTTTGAGCCCGGCAGGGTGGTCAAACTAGCCAATCACAGCATCAGAACTCTAAGCATCTGAGAGAGAGTGGGAACCTCCCAGAACATTGTATTGTGCCACGCCCAACAGAAATACTCCAGGTGGATAACATTTACAATCAGGAGCTCCTCAGTTGCTCATTCTACCACTGAATTTACAATGACTTATGGGTAGAAAAGCCATACTACGTAATTTACTGCACTGCAAACATGTTATTGTTAGGTGCTATTGAGTCGATTCTGACTCATAGCAACCCTGTGTACAGCAGAATGAAACACTGCCCAGTCCTGTGCCATCCTCACAATCCTTGCTGTGATTGAGCCCATCATCACAGCCACTGTGTCAGTTCATCTCATTGAGGGTCTTCCCCATTTTCTCTGACCCTCCGCTTTATCGAGCATGATATATCCCTCTCCAGGGACTGGCCCCTTCTGACCACATGACCAAAGTAGGTGAGATGAAGTCTGGCCATTCTCACCTCCAAGAGCCATTCCAGCTACACTTCTTCAGTGACAGATTTGTTTGTTCTTCTGGCAGTCCATGACATTTTCAGTATTCCTTGCCAACACCACAATTCAAAGGCATCAATTCTTCAGTCTTGTTTATTCATTGTCCACTTTCACATGCGTATGAGGCAATTGAAAATACCATGGCTTATTGATGCACTTTAGTTTTCAAAGTGACATCTTTGCTCTTCAGATTTAAAGAAAGAAATCTTTTTCAGCACATTTGCTCCGTTACTGTTCTGCTTACCTGGTGCCGTTCTGACAAGAAAATATACCACAAATGGGATGACCTTATCAAACAGGAGTTTATTCTTACAATTTGGAGGCTTTAAGTCCAAGTTCAAAGTACCAGGCTCTAGGGGCTGGGTAAAAGCCCCTCAACTTTGGGGTCCAGCTCTGCCTCCTTCTCCCGGCCCACTGGAGCTAGAGGCATTTCTTCACTCAGACAGTTGTTGGCTGCTGAGGCTGAGAAGCCCCAAGGTTGACAAGTAAAATGGCACAGTCCCGATGTTACCAGACCACACAGCAGGCCATTAGCTTAAGTCCATTGTAAGTCCCAAGGTCGGCAGAGCATGGCAGGCTGCTGAGCAACGACACGGCTACGTGCAGGGTCCAAGCATGCCAAAGGCTAGAGACCATTTTCAAAGCGTTTCCTTATATACAGGAAACAGACCACATTCCCTAAGGCTCCCAGTAGATTGCACCATGGAGTTGATTATCAGTCTCATCATGGGGAATACTCCATCCAGCTGCCCAGCCACTCAACCAGGCCCAGCCAAGTTGACACACAAACATAACCCTCACAGTTACCATGGCTTATTGGTGCACTTTAGTTTTC